ATTCTACACATAATACGGCTCATCCACCTTGTTTACAACTCATCTGTCTTGTCAAATTACCCACCCAAACAACACCAATCGACCTAAGCACCCAAAACAACTTTCAACTTAACCAAATCACTAAATGTGAAATGGCGACCTTCACGAAAAATAGCGCATCAGGAGTTATACTACTCCTACCATACTCATCCTTACCTCATATGAAAGATAAGAGGATTTCCTACAACTCTCATGAAGACACCAAGTCCTAATTCCTTCATCTACCATGTTAAAAATGATAAAAACCGCAACAGCTATAAACAAAGCTAGCAGCTCGACCCCTCTTCACTAAAACAGCCATATCTAGAGTTCTAAAACTCCTTTTTGGGTGATTCCAGCGTCATTGGAAAGCTAACATCCAAGGCTACAATTTTCATGAAGACTATAAAGTCCAATTCTGAAAATCAAATTCGCGCCCGGCGCATTAAAAGCGCGCTCGGCGCAATTCTCAACCAGAGACCTACAGAGGTCTATTGCGCCCGACGTGGTTCTCCTCGCGCCCGACACGATTCACCCAGAGATTTCCCATTTTTAATCACGCCCGGCGCGAAGAACTGAGCCCGGCGCAATAGACATCTCTAGGTCTCTGGTTGAGAATTGCGCCGAGCGCGCTTTTAATTCGCCGGGCGCGAGTTTGATTTTCAGAATTGGACTTTATAGTCTTCATGAAAATTGTAGCCTTGGATGTTAGCTTTCCAATGATGCTGGAATCACCCAAAAAGGAGTTTTAGAACTCTAGATATGGCTGTTTTAGTGAAGAGGGGTCGAGCTGCTAGCTTTGTTTATAGCTGTTGCGATTTTTATCATTTTTAACATGGTAGATGAAGGAATTAGGACTTGGTGTCTTCATGAGAGTTGTAGGAAATCCTCTTATCTTTCATATGAGGTAAGGATGAGTATGGTAGGAGTAGTATAACTCCTGATGCGCTATTTTCCGTGAAGGTCGCCATTTCACATTTAGTGATTTGGTTAAGTTGAAAGTTGTTTTCGGTGCTTAGGTCGATTGGTGTTGTTTGGGTGGGTAATTTGACAAGACAGATGAGTTGTAAACAAGGTGGATGAGCCGTATTATGTGTAGAATATGTTGTATGTCGTATATGCTATTAATAATGTAATGCTGCGTTGTAATAGATATATATTGGATGAGCCCGACGCAAATTCAAACAGGAACTCTTACCCACTTCGAAAATTTCATCAAAACCTGCAAAAATCAACAGAAAACCAACATGCAACCCAGCCAAAAGTTCCCATACTCACCAAGTATCAACAAAAACGTCTCATTTTCGACATGCAAACACAAATCAAGAATTACTCAAAATTTTCGCAAGAACCTCGAAAACCCGAAGAACCCCAATTTATCAATTTCAGCAGTTTTCAGCTCAAATGTAGCAAACATTATACCACAAAAGAGTTCTTAGAACTCATTTTCAGCCAAACAAATCAAAGGACTAGCTTCCCTTACCTTGGTGAAGAGAAAACCGAGTTCCGGGAGGAAGAATAAAGAAGAAGATTGGAAGCGGACGGAGACCAACGGAGAAGGAGATCTTCAGTTAATTTCCCACACCAAGATCAACACCTAAACACCACAGCCACCAGAAGGAGTTCCGCAAGTGAGCAATGGGAGAAAAGGAGAAGTAAGGTTTTTGAGAGAAAGAGTGCGTAAAGGGAAAAGGAGAATTGGAGTGTGTGAGAATAAGAGTGAGTAAGGGTAAAATAGGAAAAGGAAAAGAGGGGGTCTCACAATTACACCACAGGATTAGTCTTTTCTCTTAAAAAAATAAAACTTAAAGCCATTTCTCTTTATAATTTTTGACTTGATTGATTTTACTAACGAAAGCATGTTTTTTTTTTTAGCTTATTCTTTTTTAGGAAATCTTTTTACTAAGGTGAACTTGTTGCACATGACTCTAGATAGTTATTGCCTAAGCACAAACACCTAAACTATTACAACATAACTTCATCTTGATTTGGAAGTAGGGATGCTGAGTTGGCAGTAGGGGGCATAAATGATATGTGGGGTGAGTTAGTAATATGAAGAACAAGGAGAGAGGATAGGGGGAGGAGAATTCTGCTTGAAGAGAGAGATGAGATCACCCAGAATCATTCTTGGGTAAAGGGGCCATTTGGCTAGGCTGATAGAATTACCCTATCAGATTTTTTCTTCTTTTTCTGTTATACTGGTTGTTTGGTTCTTTATACACTCCGGTATTATCTGTTCATTTGTGTTTGAACCTATCACCCCAATACAGAATGTTATCTAATATTTTGAAAACAAAATGTTATCTAATATTTCAATTTCATATTGATAATATACATATTGTGCACGTACAGAAGTAAACACGATCGGCACACACGTACAACTAGCTACATATAAAATAATTGTACTTACATAACTGAACCAAACATGGTGTTCCTTCTCTTCTTTTCCCTTTCCTTTTGAAGTATTTTAAAATGCTTAGGAAAAGTAAGTAATTTATTATTTAATTAATATTCTTTTTTACATAAGAATTCTAAATTAGGGAAATAAAAGCCTACACGTGAGGAGGATACATTGTCAGAGAAGGGCAAAGTACAAAAATAATGTCAATACTGAAATTTTACCCTCTTTGTGGAGACAGAGCATTCTTATGGTGATACACTAAATTATTTCACTAGCTACAGTTGAACATGATTTCATGAATATTCTGTCTATCCCTTGGGACTATCTGACTTCAAGTTATTGTGCATACAAGACATTCATTGCCATAATAGCAGAACAGTTTTTATGGGGCACATGCATGAAATATGAACTTTAAATAAATTCGTAAGAGCTAATGCTTAGTAAAAGAGTAAGGAGAGTCATCTCCTTTTCTGACTCATACTTGTCAGAAGTTATCTTCCTTTCTACAAAAATTAAAGCAAACTAAGACTATTGGTGAATAGGGAACAGCTAAAGCTGGCAACAGTTATTAATTAAACTAGAATAAAACATCACTACCCTATTTGCATGACAAGGAAAATTCTACAAGTAGCATTACCACCCCTTTACAAAGGTGAAGTAATTACACATCAAGCAAAATAAAAATGAAATCTTATAAAACAGAAACAGCAGGCATAAAGAGTACTGTGTCACTCCTTAAAACTTGCTAAATGTCCTTGATACTTTTATCCTCATCATTGACTCATCAATTAATTGAAAGTAAGCATGTCTCCAATTTCTCTTCATCAATAAGCTTCCAATCACAACCCAAAAACCAATAACGTATCCAAGTGCTATGACAAAGTAAAACAAAAATGTCTCTAGTTTATCCTCTTTGCCGTCTTCATCTTCATTGCCATGTTGGGAATCATCAGGAGAACACTTATTTGGGAGTGGAGTTCCGCAGAGAAATGGGTTGCCAATATAAATAAAAGGATCATCAAGGCTTGACAATTGATTTCCTTTGGGAATTTGTCCCGAAAGGTTGTTGTAGGACAAATTTAAGTGGCTTAACCAAGTTAAGCTTGATATGCTGTATGAAATTGTGCCTGAAAGTTGGTCATGAGAGATGTCAAGAGATTCTAGGGATTTCATGTTCCCTATCCTTTTAGGGATATGCCCTGATAGATGATTGTATGATAGATTTAGGCCTTGCAATGCAGAAAGCAGTGTTATTGCTTCAGGAATAGATCCACTCAAATTGTTATTTGACAAATCCATGTTGGCTACCAGTTTTAGATTTCTGGTGTAGTCAAGTTCTCTTCCTTTTATGACTTGTCTGACCTCTTGTTCATACCATTCAAGATTTCTAGGCCCTTCACTTGGTTCGGTGGCAGAAGATTTCTTTCCTAAAATCATTCCTGTGAAATTTCCAATGCATTGAGGGATTGAGCCCATCAAGTTGTTGTCTGAAAGGTCCAAGATTTTCAGTGCAGAAAGTTGGCACAGTTGTGAAGGAATTGTTCCATGAAACTTGTTTTGCCGTAGCCTTAGAATCTGCAACGAGGAGAAAATGTTCCCCATCCATAAAGGTATAGTCCAAGACAGATGGTTCTCTCCTACATCCAAAATTAGAAGATGTTTCAAATTTCTCAAAGATGATGGAAACCCCCCATGAAGGCTGTTGTTGTTCAAATGCAACCAAGCCAACGTGGATAGGTTACCAAGAGAGCTTGGAATAACACTGGATAATTTGTTGGATGCCAAATTTATCTCACTGAGATTTTGTTGAGTAGCACTCCAACAATTAGGAATTTCACCTGATAACAAGTTGCCTGAAAGGTCAAGATTGTACAAGGAGTCCATTTTGCACAATGACTTTGGAATGGAACCACTTATAAGGTTGTTTCCAAGAAGCAAGTGAGTAACATTGGGCAACCTATCAGCAATATCTTGGGGAAGTGACCCAGTGATATGGTTGTTGGTGAGATTCAAGTAGACAAGTTGCTTGGGCCATGTTATGTCAGACACCAAACTCTCCAAATAATTTAGAGACATGTCTAAGTTCTGCAGGTTCAGAAGTTGGCCAATACGGGGAATATTTCCATGTAAAATATTTTCAGAAAGATAGAGGGTGATCAAATTTTTAAGGTGACCAATATTCTGAGGAATTGTACCGTTCAAAGAGTTTCTTGTAAGATCTAGATACTTTAGACTTACAAGCTGCTCTAGACTCCTAGGAATGACACCATGAAAATGATTAGAAGAAAGAAGTAAAGTGTTTAAATTGACAAGTTGCCCAATACAGTCAGGAAGAGAACCAGTCAAGTTATTATTGAAAAGCACCAAGTTCTCTAGATTGACAAGCTTTGTTATCATAGCACAAGGAAGGGCCCCAACCAAATTACTGTCATATATAAGCAAATCTCTTAGATTTTCAAGTTTCCCCAACCATGCTGGCAAACCATCATTAAATTCATTGTTACTCAAATCCAGTTGCATTAAATCATACCTAATGCATCCAGACCGTATACTGCTTCCAAATGCATCACCTTGAATATTATTTTTTGACATATCTAATGTTTGAAGATGGCAACAGTTTCCCAGAATAGATGTTAGAGATCCCTCAATATGATTTACATTATTTCCTGAAAGATCGAAGTATTGAAGACTCTTTAACTCACCTAACCACGATGGAACATAATCAAAGTTGTTTTCAGATAGGTCGAGGGAAATCAAGGAAGTCAGATTCTGTAAAGCAGATGGAAGTGAGCCATAAAGAGCATTACTATTAACATAAAGATTGAGAAGGTTAATACAGGTTCTCAACCAGAATGGAATGGAATTCAGGTTGTTGTACGAGAGATCACTCTCTGCAAGGGAAGTCATATTTTGAAAAGCATCCAGAAATGGAGCCTGAAGTCCATTTTCTGCTAGATTGAGGATTTCCAATCTGGAAAGGTTTGTGGCTTTAACATGTTGATGAATGTGTAACTTGTTTAGTGTGCAATTCATCAATTCTATTTCTAACAAAGAAGGAAGCGAGTTGAGTGCCTGCAACAAATTTTGTGCCTTACCAAGATGCACATCACTCATGTAAAGGTATTGGAGTGATGAGAGTTGAGAAATCCAATTGAAGTCATCAGCATACAAAAGAGAATTGAAGCTGAAATCTAGAAGGAGCAATTTAGTGAGGTTCCCAAGATGGTAAGGGATCCTCCCAGAAAAATGAGAGTCAGAGAGAGAAAGGACTTGTAGATGCTCCATAGTTTGGATGAACATTGGTATTGAAGTATTATGAAAATGGTTTCCACTCAAATCTAAATAAGTGAGATATTTAAGTTGCAATATAGAAGAATGGACATGTTGAGCTTCAAGAACATACTTGTAGAAGGAACAGTTTTGTTGAAAATATCCTTGGCCCCTTAGTGGGAAGCAAGGATTCCTGAGGTCAAGCTTGACAACATGTCCTGTAATATTGCTGCAACCTACACCTTTCCACTGGCAACAATCACCTCCTTCCCAAGAGGAAAGTCTTGATGATGGGTCTTTGAAGCTTCTTTTGATACTAAGAAGAGCTTGCCTCTCTTCTTCATTGCAGCCAAGCAGTGAATGGCCACAGGAAGATATCACTGCAAGTGCAATCGAAAGGAAAACAACAGCAAAAGCCAAGCTAGGCATGTCGTAAGAAGTGTATTGGAATATAAAGATGAGAGTTGATAAGGAGGAATGAAGTAGGCAATATATAGGCAACACAAGGTTTACTAAATAATTCTTGTGAATAGCGGAAACTGAAGGTAAGTATTGATTCATCATTGATGACTTCATTGTCGACAAAGTCAAATAAGAAAGTTTGATTTATGTGATATGATATTGACGAAGATGCATCCTGAAAAAATTTATCACACACACATACATACATATATATATATATATCAGGAGGGATCTGTTTTATTTCGCTCAATAACTCATGTTTTATATCAAATTTTAACAATTTAACTGTTAAATTTAAAGTTCTTAATACAAAGATCAAATCTACAAATTTTTAAAAAATTTGAAAATTATTTTATACTTCATTTCATTAATTCTAATTGATGGATAATTATAAAATCATTTTATACATTTAAATGACACACTCTCTCTCTCTCTCTATATATATATATATATATATATGTATGTATGTATGTATGAGAGATAAGAAGGGTAAATCATGATCGTTAAATTATAGATAAAAATAATTAATGATCAAGATTAAATGTCAATTATAAACACTCTTTTACAAGATTATTACTATTATTTTTTTCACAACTATCAACATCATAATCACCCGCCAACAATACCACAACCATCAGTGTTGTCATAGTTGTCTATTGTGTGTGAAATGCACTTAAAGGAAAATGTGTCTTACTGTGTAATAATAATGAATACAGTCTAGATATTGATAAGTGTCAAATTTAATTAAATGGTTTATCAATTTGTGACACTTATCTAATATTTTAATATGAAAAGGGTAGCTAAACTTTCATAATTGTAAATTGAATCAAAAGGATTTGAAGTGAAGAAATTTTGGAGAGTTGGATTTTTTGTAACGAAGTTGTTCCTTGTTATGTAGGTCAAGGAAGTTGGAAGTTTTAAAGATCTTCGGAAGCAAATAGCTCAACCATTTAAAAGGGTTGAAAATTCAATACAAGAAAAAGTTAAATTTCCGACGGATAATTTTTCACGGACAAAAATTCGTCAGAAATTTCCCACAGATTTAGATCTGTGGGAAATTTCCGACGGAATTTCTGACGGAATTTTAATTGATGGAATTTCCTACAGAATTTTCTACGGATTTAAATCCGTCTGAAATTTCCAACAATTCAGTCACTAGAGGATTTTCTGAGAGCTTGTGTGTTGGATCATCTGGGTAGCTGGGAGGAGGTGTTTCCATTGATAGAGTTTACCTATAATAACAGTTATCACTCGAGTATTGGCATGGCACCTTTTGAGGCTTTATATGGCAGGAGGTGTATGACTCCATTATGGTGGTATCAGGAGGGTGAGTCAGTAGTGGTTGGTCCAGAGTTAGTTCTTCAGACTACTGAGATGGTGAGACAGATTCAGGAGAGGTTGAGAGCTACTCAGAATCGACAAAAGTCTTATGCTGATAAGAGGAGGAGACCTCTAGAGTTTGAGGAGGGAGAGCATGTGTTTCTCAGGGTGACACCCACTACTGGAGTGGGAAGGGCTGTAAGGGCCAAGAAACTCACACCGAAGTTCATTGGTCCTTATCAGATCCTTCGTCGTGTAGGTCCAGTAGCTTATCAGTTGGCGTTACCTCCGATTCTGTCCAACCTGCATGATGTGTTTCACGTTTCACAGTTGAGGAAGTACATCAGAGACCCGAGTCACGTGATAGAGATGGATGAGGTGCAAGTTAGAGAAAACTTGACTTACGAGATTTTTAACTTTAAATGTATGAATTATTTTTTTGAAATCTTATCAAATATAAAAAATCCACGAAAATTCTACAAAATCCACAAAATTCTACTGAATCTATTAAAATCCTGATTTAAAAGTCTTGTATAATACATTAAAATCTTGATTTTAAGTTTTGTAAAATCCTGCAAAATTTTAAAAGTTATAAAAATCTTGCAAAATATTTTAAAATCTATAAAATAATTTTTAACTAAAAAAATCCTTTAAAATCATAATCTAATGCACCCTGCTTAATTTCTTCTCACTATTCAATCCACTTTAAATCAACTCATTTAATCAAAAGCCAAATGTGTACGTATCGGTCCGACACCATGCTAGGTGGACATAATCTTTTAAATTTAATTTGATTTTACTTTTTAATATTAAATTAAATAATTTCAGTCAAGTCACCGATAATTAAATGACAAATTAGCATCAACTAAGCTCACATTAAAATATATTTTTTCGAAAATTACTGATCAATGGTAATTATTAATTTGGGCGGAAAAAATAAATTAACAAATTGACATCAGCAATACCATTGGATAGTCCAAACTATATTAAATTAAATAATTTCAGTCAAGTCACCGCTAATTAAATGACAAATTAGCATCAACTAAGCCCACATTAAAATATATTTTTTTGAAAATTACTGATCCTAATTGAGTATTAATATGCTATCAAAATAAATTATTTTATCTAATGAGATTCAATTGTATTTCTATACAATTTTTTTTACATATATGAAAATCTATTATTCAATGAAATTACTTTTAGTGACCATTAAAATTGTCACTAGAATTGTCATTAAAATTTTTTATTTTTCCCGGCCATTTAAAAGGTCTTTACCAGCACTCACTTTAAATGTCGCTAATAGTTTTACCGACCCCACATACAACGGCCATAATCTAATTGCCGGTAAAGATATTAATGGCCATTTGTATGGTCGCTAAATAACATAAAAATTGCCACAAAAATTCCCCTTATTAGTCTCTTAGTTTCCATTGTAAATACCTTGTATAGTATTTGTACATAACAGATAATTGTATATGTGTACTTTTGCCTTTGTATTTGTGAGACACTGTTTTCTTTCTTTGTAGGTCATACCTTTAGGATTCTAGGATATGTTACATGGAGACCTTTGCTTTATTTGACCTTGTATTAAGGGTCATTTATTTTCATATTTTCATTAGAAGAAGTGGGGTGACAAATAGTAAGTGTGTAGGTGAAGCTAGTAATTGGACCTTTGGTGGGCCTAGGCAAAATTTTATATATTAGGCTTGTTTTCCTCCATTTTTTTCTAAGGAATTGATTTAGCTAGGTCTCACTGCCATTTGGTGAACCTAACTAAACCAATTCCAAGATTTCTGGATTGGATTAGATGAAAGAAATAAGCCAAGGCCGCCTAGCTTACTCTTTGGGCGAATTATTCTAAAGCTTCTCCAACACACTTACTTCTGTTTAGCCTAGGAGATAAGATGACACATGGCATCTCTTGTTTGGCTCTTTTAGATCTGAGTGTCTCCTCTTTGTCTCCGCTAGAAGACAAGGTGACACTTGGCAAGCTAAGATTGGACAATCTAGATCTAATGTCTCTACCTTGTCTCCTCCTTGTCTAGCTTGCTCTACAAGCTACTCCACCTCTATATATAGGATTTCCCCTTTGTAAAATTCACTTTTGATGATAGATGAGAGCATAGCTGAGATTTCTCTCTGAATTCTCTCTTCCAAAATGTCTTAAATCTCTTTGATTTTAATCTAATTCTCTTATCCGCTTCATATAAGAGAGTGGTGAGGATTGAAGTGACTCATCTTCTTCTAAGGAGTGGCGCATCTTGAAGAGTGTTCTTCACCTTCCAAGGTGAAGCTAGAGGCTTCTACCTCCATTACGAGTCTCAAAGAAGCTTGAGAAGTGTCAAGAAGCCAAAGGTCTAGAGAGAAGGTTGAAGGAGAAGCCAAAGCCAACCAATTTTCTCTAAAAGGTTTCCGTCACATTATTTATACCCTGGCTTGTGTGGTGATTAACAGGGAATACATTATTTATACCATGGTATGTGTGGTGATTAACAAGGGATGCATTATTTATACACTAGCTTGTGTGGTGATTAACAGTGTGACACTAGTCATAAGTGATGTGAATAGTGTGGCCATGCGTGGTGATGCCTGAGGAGATTGATGAGGTTCACCCATTGTGCGACGCTCTAAGTCAATGCTTCTTAGGAGGTTGCATTGCATTGCATTGAGGTGAACATGAGCACAACATGAGTTGTATAATGATGTGACTAGAGTGATAATAACTGTTGAATATATGTCGTGATGACATGGTTGCGGTTGAATTGTATGTTAAGTATAATATATGCTTGGATTGAAGTTCTCTTTTTGTAATTTACATATGAATACTTATTTTTCTTACCTATATGCTTTGTGATTTTATTTAGGTAATGATGACCTTGATGAGGGTGGTACTCAAGGTGCCGAGAGTTAAAGTTATGAGTTTCTTTGATAAGTGTGACATCAAGGCAATGGGATTAGATTACGAGTTTATAACTCACTTTTGAATTGCATTACTTGTTTAGATGAAATTGTAAACTTTAATATTTTATAATTTTGTTTTTAATTGATTGGATGTTAGAGATGGTGGATATGTGAACTTATTTTACCTAAGAATTTATTGAAATTATTTTTTTATGAATTATATTACATGTTGAGGTAGAATGAGTGTCACAACTTGCATTGATAACTTGTTCTCTCTTAATAATATACAAAATCTTATATAATGAGTTGTATGTATTACATAATTAAATAAATTAGAAAGGTTAATGTTCACTTACAAACTAAAGGGAGGTATGTGCCATTTAAAAAGACTCTAGAGAAAATTGGTGTAATTGTCCTTTAATCTAATCATGGATTCTTTTTCCTCAAATAATTTTTTTTTTTTATCAAAATAGACACTTTTAAAATCGTTTTTATCAAATAATATAAAACAATTTTTTCTATAATTTATCATCAATTTTACTAAAATCAATTGTTTTAAAATGAGTTTTTTTTTTTTATCAAAATTAATTGATCAAACAAATTGAATCTAATAAGAACCAAGTTCAGGTCATTAGCTACCTCTAACATCGATTGATATCATCGTTGCTTGGCTTTAATTAGCTAAACATTGATTATTGCATGCTTCATGGAAAACACCCGCCAATATGAACAATATCAGTCCCTTGTTTGTCTTTGATATTGGACTAT